CGGTAATCTGCTGCTGAAAACCACCATTCGGGTGGGATTTAGCAATGCTGAATCCCCCCTTTAGAGAACGTCCCACATGGGAGACGACACCAACCTTTACAAAGGGGTTTCCAGTAAATTCTTTGTGGATTTTGTTGTTTGCCAAGTATAGGGTTTTTTTTTAACCCAGATCCTGAAAAGGTGTTTCACACCATCCCTCGCACCTGCGTGTCCCTTCGCAGTGGGAGGCTCTGCCGAGGCAGCTCTTCAATTCGGGTATCAGACAAAGGAGTCCATCACAGTGCCCCCATGGGCCAAACCAGCTCCCTTTCCAGTTGGTGAAAAACATACTTGGCATTGCTGAGATCAGGTTTTGACCTTCATTTTGAAGAGGAGGAGCAGGATCTTAACTGCTAGATTTACCTTCAATGGAAAGCCCTGGCTGGAGGGAGGCCGGATCATCCCGGGGAGCACAGCGAAGCTCGAGGTCTGAGGGATTTCCCTTTGCACGGGAGAAGGTCAAAAGTACACTTTAGGACACTTCTCGTGAGCGATGCTGATCCCGGCACGGCAGCTGAGGATGAGATGTTTCAGCAGTGACTCAGAGGAAGAAGGTAAATAACCACTTTTTATTTCAAACACAGGATTAAATTCCTTCATGTCTGGATTGTTCAAGGTAAAGCTCCTGTAATCTTCTCGTTGTGATCGTCTGGTGGCTCTGGACCCGCTGCAGCCGGCGCGGGAGAGGCTGGGACAGCGAAGGGACATGGGAGGTGGCAAAGGACACCGGAGCAGGGGATGCCGCTCTGTTAGCAACACGGCTCGAGAAGAAGCTGGTGTGGATTGTCCCTTAGGTCAGGGAAATCGCCCTGGGAACTCATGGACTGAAGCTGAAGGAGCTGAGATTTCACCTCGACTGCTTTGCAAGGGGGAGGCTGAGACACAAGAATGGGAAAACTGCGACTGTGATAAGGAAAACCCAACTGGAAGCCACTACGTCTGTATTTGTACCTATTTTTGCACACTACGGAGGACCACATTTCACACCAAGCGCTCGTCTGTGCTGCAAAGTGCCTGCACAACACCACGCTCCTGCTCCCACCGAGAACTAAACCTCCTCTCTGCTCGCCACAGGGGACAAAAAATAAACCGGGATCATTCCTGAAAGCTTCTGCAGCAGTTTTGCGCCGTCCTGAGCCGGCAGCGAGGGCAGACGTGGGGCACAAGTGTCACCGCGGGGCTGTGCTGGCTGCTGGCGTGAGCTGCAGAGCAAAGCCTCCACCGTGAGCATCCCCGGCCCCGCCAGCCTGACTGGAGAAGGGCTGCGGCTCTCTGGCACGGCGCCGGCAGCAGGCGCAAATGCAGGGCATGAAGGTCCAAGCACTGCTGCGAGGGATGAGGGATGATCTTCATCCACAGTAATTGGTTAAAAATGAAGGGTTTTTTAAGTTGTTTTTGTTGCTTTCTACTTCTTCTTCACTGCTTTTCCATGATGCTTCGGGTAAGTCTCGTGTGAGATGTGGTGGGTTTATTGCAGGACTGATGGGTCCATCCAAACACTTGGCAGATGCTCCGAATGTTTCTCCACTTGATTTTCGGCAGAACAGTTAAACCACAGCAGCTGTGTCATCTGCCGAAGCATCTCAGCTGCCAATGACCAGCGCCAAGAGCTGCGCCGGCACTTCCCGGGCTCGAGGGGCAGTGGATGTGCGGGAGAGCGCGAGGACACTGACCTGCCCGCAAGGTCCATCCCTTCCCAGCAACGGTGCCGCACATTCTGGGACAATCCCATCTGACCGCCATGACAGCCGAGCTGTGCCGGGTGCTTGGTGTGGCCCGAGGACTGATTTTGTCTGTATCTGAGTAAAGGAGAGGGGCGGGTTCACGGTTCTTGGAAACTGTGGTTCATCAGACACCCCGCCGGGCTTTTCAGTACGGTCCCGCTTCCAAGGGTCCATTCCAGGTGTAATTTGATGTCATCCTTGCACAAGAGTTTGGGGTTTAGGGAATTTATCTTTACCATACGAAGCCTTTTTAGAGGTGGTCTTAATATTCATATTGATGGGGAAATACTGGGTTAATCGTTACAGAGTGCCAAAAAAAAGGGCTAGCAAGAAATCTACAATATAAAGACAATTTTATTGCCGATAAGCTCTTAAAACTCTTTTTTTTTTTTCCTGTTTCAGTAGGACCTTATTCTTCCTGATGAAAATCCGGTCATAGCATCTCTCATTAAAAATAAAATTATTTTGAAATAAATAAATATATAAAATAAATATCATATACATTTTATAAATAGTTTTGTCCTTATGCACAGTATCCATGCTTACATCTGAATAATGTTCCTCGCCCCATTCCCATCCCAACAGCAGGAAAAAACCCCCACGCATCAGGACCAGTCCATGTAGCATCATCATCATCCACGTAGCAAACTCCCGGGCTGCTTAAGCAGGGTACCACTCAAAAGGCTTTTTCTTAGCAGGTGACCATCCCGAGCTTAGCAGCAGCATCCGCAGCAGTTCTGTGGTCTTTTGTTTTCTTTCCTTCTCTTCATTTTTAGTATTTATTTCTCTTTCCCCACCCCGGTGATCAGGTCTGCTCGCCTGCTTGTTCCTTTAAGCAACCGTAACATTGAATATTCGGCCTCTCTTGTAGCAACCGCGTAAAGAAAGTGAATGAAGACGAAAGATTATATGTAGGGTTCCCTCCCTTCCCCTACCCCCACCCCATAAATAACTCAGGTTCGATATACGCTGGAAACAAGGAGGAACAGCAGTGTCTGAATTCAATGTAAGTGCTTTCCTATGTCATCTACGCTTACAGGAATGATGGAATGACTATTAATATAGTGCTCTGGGAAAAAGCTTGGGAGCCCAAGTATGTACACTGACGGGGCAGCTGCAGGGAACATCACCTGTAGTGGAAGAGGTCTCTGTACATCGCAGGTATTTTGGCAGGGTCCACAGGCCGGGGTAAAAAATGAGTGAATTTCTGATGTCTCTTAGTCCTGTACCCCTCTCGGGGGGAGCCGTCCTTGTTCAGAGCCACGTAGTAATGCCTCTCCGAGTCGGGATGCTTGTAGAGGGTTGAGGCGTATGTGTTGTACCAGTTCTCTTCAAACTGCTCTCGGAAAACGCACTCCCGTGTGAGCTTCTTCTGCGGTGGGGCGGAGGCGGCAGGGGGAAGAAAAAGACACTTGTGTCAAAAATTAAGAAAAAGAAGTCTTTTCCTCCTTCCTTCACTTTATTTTCCTGTAATTTTCCCAGCTACTACCTCCTCCTGGCTCCCTTGAGGACAGGGAATGTGCTGCTGGGGATCTTTCCCCCGGGTGAGAGCTGGAAACGGGCACAAGCTGTACAAGCCGGGACCCAAAATCCTCCGAAGTTGGAGGAGGAAGGAGACAAAAGGAGGAGGAGAAAGCGGGTGTGCATTTTGCAAAGGTGCCCCATAAAAAATAAACTAGGGCCATGGCAAAACTCTCAACCTGATAGGCAGATCTCCGCCACGGGGGTGTGCGTTTGGAGCTTGCCGGGGTGGCCGTGCCGTGTCCTGTGCGGAGGGCTGCCCACCCGCAGCCACATCCCCCCCGTAGCAGCACCACCGCGCTCTGCGGTGAGAGGCAGCCCCGGGAGGAGAAGCGGGCAGCGCGGCTGGAGGGTTTAAAAAGGAGCGAGCACCACTTTGAAAGTTCAAGGCACAGAAGGGTATATACACCGCGCCGCGCGAATGAAAGCATTCCTCAGGCCTTTCATCTTCTGAAGAGCCCGATAGCTGTGATGTGAGGCCATAACAAGAACCGGGGAGGTCTGGATGGGGAGCAGCGCTGCGGGGATGTCTAACCCCGGGGAAGATTTATGGCGGCGATAGGTGATGTGAGGAGCATGTGCCAGCCCGCGGCCGGTGCACCCCACGCTGGGTAGGGGGAACGGATGGCACTGGTGTCACTGCGGCCACAACCAGCCTTTCTCTCCAACCCTTATAGCCGGAGGCCGTCGGCAGCGGCCGCTCGAGGATGCTTTTTCAGTTCATGCCCATCGCTCCTTCCCTCTCCTTCCCATATCCCCTGTGCCACCTACCGGGATGTGCCCGACCGCAATGAGGAGCGGGGCTGTCCCCCTGTCCCACGAGGACATGGGTGGCTTTGCCAGCGCCACTGTGTCACAGAGGGACCCACCATCCCGTCCTGTCCCATCCCATGGGGAGACTGCCAGGGGGGACGTGGGAGTCCTTTCAGATGAAAGGCAGTCCGCAAACGTAGGATGCTACAGTATTACAAACACTGTACCTACACCATAAACTATTCGGGGGGGGAATGTGTCTTATCTAGGGCGTACAGAGTGCTAAGTAAATGTTATTGCCTGCAGTAGATGTTTTGTAATACGATCCAGGAGCTCACCTGCGCTCAGAACCTGTTTTGAATGTTTTGCTGTTAATTAAATAAACCCCGAGGTGAGTCGTGAGCCCTTCAAAAGCCCACGCCACAGCCCCTGCCATCTGAGAGCCGGGGAATCGGGAACCAGGGGATTCTCTTCCCAGATCCACCAATAAATAAAGACTTTTTTTACTTCCCCTAGGATGCCGTCTACTCAGAAGATGTTGGAAACTGCTGACGGGCTGAAGTTGTGCGCTGCTGCCGTGTCCCAGTTTACCTGCTCTTCACTGGCCTGGTGGGAAGCACGGGGTTTGTGTAAGAGTCTGGGGGGACTCTGCAAGGTGCCTTTTCTTTCTTTCCAAGCCCTGGGATGTCCCCACTGAGCCCGACGCCGCACAGGCAGCGTGCAAAGGTGCCGCTGCGACTTTGGCTGCTCTAAGTGTTAGTCGCGCTTCTGAAATCGAAGGGAAGTTTAAGAGAAACGTTGGCGCAAGGTTAACGGGGACGGGCAGAAAAGCTGTCTGTCCCAAGGGCACTCCACGTGTCGCTGCGGGGCTGGCTGGCTCTGCCTGTATCAACACACAGATCAGGCAAAATTGGCACAGAGGGAAATAATAAACTTGCTGAAAATTTAAAAATACCGCTGTACTGTAATCTCCTAAAATACCATTGTAATGCTAATGCTGTTGTTGGGCACTGTTTTATGGACCTTTAATTAAGAATGCTGTAGTGGCTTTTGATTTCGAAAAGCCGTCATTGTACAGCCCACGTATCCCAGATTTTAGAACTCCAGGGTTATTTGGGGACCTGGTTCGTGACTTCTGCACAGTTTGGATCAGCGGTTTGACTGTGTCCCTGCAGCGCCCGGTCAGTGTATTGTCTGGTGTACGAGATACAATGACAGAGAGAAAACTTCCATGATTACATCTTCAGGTCAATTCTGTTTGCAGAAGAAGAGTTGTAAAAAGTTGTCCTATTTTTTTCTGTGTCTTAACATGAACACAGGCCCTAAAATTTAATTAACTCATCATGAAACTGTTGATTTACAATCAGAGCTGCGGGGTTTGAAAGCACAGAAGGGAATCCACAGGATTGTGTCCTCCTTTTCAGCAGGCGCAAGTCAAAGCTGCGACTCCGGGAGCCACTGAGCAGCCTCGGGGGCTGACAGGAGAGGTGCTGCCGCGCAGGTGGAGGCTCCAGCCCTGCTTTCTGAAGTGGGCTTCAAGATTATTTTTCTTGTGTTTTGATTTTACTTTTTCACTGTCTTGCAGATTTGTAATTTAACCTCTGTCTCCGCATTTAACTTTTGTTTAGGGTAGATGTTATTACAGAAATAAAGTGGAAAAAGAAAGGTTATCAGCGCATGCTAGTACTTGATTATCTCATCTAAACATCAGTAACTGCATCTTAACTAGTCAAAGGGTCTGTGGCACTCTCAGCTGGGAATGGGAGAAGAAAAGATGGTGGAAAGTCATGGGTGTTCCTGTTACTGTTTGCTAAGCAAAGGTTTTCTGAAGGCTTCTCTATACGCAGACTACATGAGTTTAAATTTCTACACTGTGAGATTGATCTGATTTGGATAAAGGAAGTGAGTGCCCTTCTGCTTTGGTTTAAAACTGGTTTATTTTATTTCATTCTAAATTTACCATGACACATCCTTAGAAATCAGTATCCTCACACAGGGCAGTGCTGTGATCTAGAAAGAGGCATTTAAAAAAATCACAGGTGATGGGTTGAATTAAAGGCAACGGGGCATCTGAAGAAAAAGCACCAATGAAGTGCAGCAGACAGATACAAAAAAGGAAACTTAAAAATAGCTATCTAGAATGCAGTTAATTTTTCAAAATATAAGTGATTCTTCTAGCTAAATAGAAATAACTATTTTATATTGAGTTAAAACAATTCAGAGCACCTCTGCCCGGTTGTTAAGGCCTGACATTTTGACTGCAAGTCTTAACACTTAATTAAATAGGAAGAAGCAGAGGAGAGCTCGGGTCCCTTCAGGTTGATGGAGACTTTACCCGTGACACCAAAGCTCTTCACAGCTCCCCTTCCCCGCAGTCCTGGCTGAGCTTTGCAGAAGCCTTCCCTCCATGTGTGGGTGTTTCATCCGGCAAACGCCTGACGTACGCTCTCTTTTTGGGGCTGGCTCATCAGAGCACCTGCCCGTGTTCAAAGGGGTTTACAGGGTGGAGCGGGTTCAGTAACGTTGGGCTGAAGAGCAGCGAGGTGGACCAGAGCTGGTCCCGGCTGCAGCAGTGCAACCCCGAGCCCGTGCTCTAAGGGCACAACCCAAATCAAGGGAGCAGACAACAAACTCGCAAGCTGCCACTAGAATCTGGAGCCTGGACTGGAAACGGGGTGTCTTCTGCTCTCTCTGTCCTACAGCAGCACAGGATGAGGCAGAATCTGCTACGGGTGATGTTAGGAAGAGTTTATAGGTATTTGTGAGTTTGTGTGGAAGTGAAAAACTAACACAGAGTTTACACTTGGTTTTTGGCAAAACATGGCAAATTTTAGTCTGGAAAGGGCACTTCTAGAAAATTCTGAGCAACCTCTCTAAACTCCTAAAAGGAGTTGTAGAGAATGTTATAAAAAAATAACGCTCAGACCACAACTTGCCGTTAGTTAAAGAGCTATAATAGAAATGCAAAATCTGCAGATGGGTGCAGATCCTGATCATGCGGAGAATAAAATTGATGTGTTACTCAGGCAATGAAAACACGCAAGCAGCCCCCGGTTTTCTGCTAAATTTCCCTTCTGCCTTTAGTTGACTGTTGCCACCCCGGTTCTGAAAGGGGTGGCAACAAGATAAGCCCCAGAGCTCCCCAGGCAGTGCCCCAAGCGGTAGCTGCGGACTGGGCACCACCATGGGCTCTCGCCGCACAAGTGTGTCCTCCCTGCACAACTCTATTTCATATATATCATTTACGTTATAACAACAGTGGCATCACGGGCAGGATGGAGGTATGTGGCAGCCCAAGGAATTTGGAGGCCTGTGACAGACACAGCTCGTGACACCGACGAGGCTGTGCAGCCTGTATTGCTGTGTGCATCATACAGTGTCGTAATCAGCACAAAACCTTAAACTTACCGACCCATACAGCTCGCCTCTCTCATTCATGCCGAGGTAGAGTCCCGAGTCCACCCCACGGATGCTCACCAGCCCCACTGCCAGGCTAATAAACTCCAAAATCCCTAAAACAGAAAAGAAGTCCAAATCACACAGAGGATAAAACCCACATGAGGCTCCAGTGACAAACGTGAACCAGCCCTTCCCAACCTTTGCAGAGCTTCCTACAGGCCCCGTTTTCCTTATTTATAACAACACAGTTCTTAAATTTATAGTCCCATATGTGCGCAATCTTCCCATTTCCACCCTAGGCTTCTCCCCAGTGTTGCGAATTTGACTTGCCCAGGACGAATTACTCATTTCTTATTTCTAATGAGAAAAGGTTCACTAGATTTTGTTGTTTTGATTTTGAGGTGGTTTTTTTTCCTCATTATCACCAAGAAGACAGATGTAGAAACTTGTGCCTGGCCCACTAGAAATTTCAGAAGGCTGCTGCCGTGCCAGGTTTTATTTTTCACCAAAAGGAGAGGGAATTTTGTCACCACGGGGCTTCTGGTTTCAGATGATGGTACCACATGTTTTAAAGTGATGAGTTCAATGAAAATAAGTAGAAAGCACTAGAAGAGATGTCTGTGAGGGCCATCTTCGTCCTGGCACTCCAGTGGGGTACTTGCCACCCCCACATGGTATATACGTGCTGCAGAGATGAAATCCAACTTCAAATATAGACAGGTAGAAATGCATTTTCCTCTGCACCCTGCGGAGCCGCGGAGCTGCTGGTCCTTCCTCCATCACCCCCTGCCACCGCTACTGCCACACACTCCCTCCCGTCCCCTATGTCCTGCTGCCTGCCCCAGCCTCGGGCCTGCCCCTTCCCAGTCCCAGCCATCCCCAACCCTGCGAGAGCAACCCTTTTAGACATGGGCTTCAGCCCACGATGACAGTGTTGGACACTTTAAATAACGAGGGGCGGCCTCGTTTTCTGTGGCAAAGAAATTAGCGGGGTCTGCTGTGCTGCCTGCTGCCCCTCCACTGCTGGTAACGGGGACGGCAGCTGTTCTGATGGAGGAAAGACTTGTAACAGGAGAACCCTTGGTGAAGTACTTAAAAACAAACAGCCCCCAAGTAGGTGCGTTTTTAACTGCGTTGAACAAAGCCAACATCACAAGTGGTAGAAACCTTCAAACTTCACAGGAAAACCTCCTGAAGGTGTTAGTGGGGTTGTGTTAGACTCTGGATATCACATGGTCCCTAGCGAGTGGCCATGGGCAGTCTTTGCCCGTGCCCAGTGCTGAATTAATTAGCTTGGAGGTGGCAGTAGAGGAAGGAAGAGGGTTTTCACCATCCCATCTAATGACAGGACAAGACGTCTTCATTGACAGGAGGACAAAGTTGCTCTAACCTTTAGCGTGGCTCCAGGTCTCTTAATATAGCTCCCAAAATGTCCAGTCCTGAGCAATTGCCGCTCTGATCAGGTTACCACCCAGAGCTCCTCTTAAAAGTATGCCTTGAGTCTAAAATCACCGCGTGACGAGTGGCCACCTGAGCCGGCTGACTTCAGCAGCAGTCACAGCTCCCGGTCACCCCTCAGCTTGGGGCATGTGTCTTCTGCTCAGCCAGGCGGGGAGATGCGATAACTCAGATAACAGACGGTAACTGCATCACCGCCTAAATATAGGACAGACCAGATGGCGATGGACACCTCTGTCCCCCTTCTCTCAACCCAGACTCATCAGTCAGATGCTGGCAGCTACGCTGGGTGCAAGAATTAGTCTTCCTACATTATATCAGACTTTTTGTCCTCCTTTTGCCCTGCCTACTCTAGGGCTCGTGCGTCGAATCCAGCCCTCCCTGAAGCCAGCGGGTGCTGAGGGGATGGGGGAGATGAGATACGGACTTGGGAGCTGCAATTCCTCGAAACAAACAGGGAAGCAAACGACAGAAAACATGCTTTATGGACCTAGTGCAGACATCTTCCAGGCTGAAATACGCCCAGCCACACGCCCCGGCTTGGGGATACATACTGCCTTCAGAAGCGCCAGGAGCAGGCAGAGAACGTAGCCTTCCCAAGCCAGACAGGCAAACCAGGACCCTATTTTGGCTGTGCTCACTCCCCCATAGTTATTGTGGTTTCTTATCTGAAAAGAAGCACAAACGGAGGGAAGAGGTGCAGGATGAGGGGTGGTCATCTGCCTCCACTACCCACCAGTTCTGGCACGTGGAAGGAGTTACTGAACTTTTCCCATCTGCAGGACAGAAATGACGACAGCCACTGTTTGAAAAGAAGGGAGTGAAGGAAGATTGGCAACAACTAGGGAGAGTGTAAAAAGTAATAAGGGGGAAAGGAGTACAGGGATACGCAGAAACGGGGGAGTCTTTCCCAGGCTGGAGACAAGTTGGATGTTCAAGTGAAAAACATCTGATAACTGGAGAGCCGTAGATGAACGTTCCTATAGGTACAAACACAGTCCTCAGCACCAGCATTTTTTTTTTTTTTAAATTGGTCTTCTGTCACCCCTAGGAAGCAGGGAAATGCTGCTTGTCCCATTTAGAAGCCAAGGGATGTCTAAGGCAGGGAAACCAAGAGCTTTTCTTGAGTATACCCACAAGCATGCTCTGTACATGGCACGGTAACCCAGGTCTCCAAAGACCCGGTAGGGAGCAACCCCAGGAGCAGCGTTAGAGTCTTCCCTCTCTGAGCGGGTGGGTGAGACACCCCTCGCCTGGTGAACATGGGGTGAATATTTGCTGGTTTTGCAAACGAAATTTCTTCAAGGTGTGCCCGTGATGATTTCTTCTGACAATGTCTCTTGCAATATTCCCCTTTTCCGATCTCTGAGTGGCACTTAGAGACGTGCACGGAAGAAGACTATGTTGAAATAACATTAAGAACGTAACTAAAACCCACAAAAGTCAGGAGACAGAGTGAAGACTGAAAAAATGTGGGCGGATATCCATCCTGTCCTTAACTCACTCCAATTGCTAGACAAAATTGCAGCTTCGTACATCTGATCTCCAGCAGCACAGGGAGCGGCCACTGGGGCCAGCTCAAGAATTTTCTTTCCAGTTGTAGCGGTGTGTTTTTGTGGTACAACATGCTTTTTATTTCCTTTTCCTTTTTTCTTTTTTCTTTCCCCAGGACTCGCCTCTTTTTTCTTGCTTTGATTATTCAGTCTGGTTTTTCCTTGAGCCTTTCTAGATAGTATTTGGAGAGATTTGATTAAGACTCTGACTGGATTCATTTACCACCAAAGCACTGAATAATCTCCCGAGCTTTGCTGTGGCCGACCCGCACGCTCTCGCCTTACTATAAACCATCCCTCAAAGCTCAATTCAGCTCCTTGCACCTGTCTCTTCTTACATGACTGTATTCGGGAACAGGGGTACAGAAACATCAGATGTTGTATTAATGGCTACAAACCTAAAGCTTCGGCTAAAAACCTCAACAACTGTTCAGCAACAGGTGCGCTACAGTCTGAATGTCAAAATCTACAGCAAAACTTGCTCCGGAGGTTTCATCAGCTTCCCCAGGAGACTGTGGTACAGATCCATTAGCAGCTTCGTACCCGAGAAGAGCTTCGTTTGCTGCCTTTATTAGTCTGCAGTACAAACTCAAGGCCTTTTTTTCTCCTTGCTTGCAGTTAAGAGTAGCACCCTTGGTGTCACTTGTTTAATGCTGCTGTAAAACAGACACGAGGCAGGAAAGGAGCAATTCCCCCTGGCAGGGATATTCCTGGTGAATTTATCTCAGTTTCATTCTCAGAAGGATTCTTATAGGGGCGCTAATGTCAGTCCAGATTTTGACCATCCGTTATTTCTTTGTACAGGAAGGTTCTTAGCAGATGCAGTGAGAACAGATACATTTTTGAAAACACTTTATTCTTTCTGGGATGACTTAGGCAGAGCTGCCAGTTCGGAGAGCGAATTTGGGCACTTCTCTAGTGTGAGAATGAGCTTTCTTCCTATGATCCTGGAGGGCTTCACCAAATTTTGCGTTAAGCCTCCTCTAGGAAAAATAAGCTGCGTCCCCATTGTTCTTGCATGAATCTGTATTTTTACAAGTATAAAATATCACATTCCGGAAGACAGGTGTGATTTAGGAACACTCCAGTCCTCGACAGATGAGAGGGAGTAGTTACCGTGATTGCTCAGGCAGTGTGGGTAGACGATGTCTACCTGTGCCTTATGGGCACATCCCCTGAATGCTGTGGTACCTGAATGCTGCGGTGCAAAAGAATCCCTCCCTCAGCCCTCACTGTTAGGACCCCGGTACTCTGTTCTGCATCACCAGGGCTTTGGCTCTTTATTTTCTTCTCTGGAAGACTTGGATGTCTTGCATATCGGGTAACTTTTGGGATGGCCGAGCATGGGAGGGTGCAGACACTGTCCATCTTTTCCTGAACCCCTTCCAGTACTAGGAGACAGGGATGCAAAGTCCGGTTCCACCCTACATCCCATCTGCAGCTGGACATGTGCCTCTGCTGCGGTGTCGCAGCCATCCATGGAGCACATATTAATTATCTGTTTGTGGTATTAGGCAGCACCTCCCAGCCGCGTGGGCTTGATCCACCAAACCACCATACTGGATGTGTAAGTAGTTCCCCAGATTTAAGGGAGCTTTAAACCGCTACCCTGAAACCCTCCTCTACCTCTGTATCCCTCACCACAGTTTTGTAGCTCCCCAGAACCGCTCAGGCTGCCTATTTCTGTAACAAGTTACTGCCTTCTGACTGCTGCATGCAAAATTTAGGAATGCATTGATACATGACATCCTAATATGAACCATACCAGTAACACTGGAATTTAAATATTCATGGCTACTGAATGCAGATGGTGAATACTGCGTGCCAATACGTTATTGCTTTGAGTCTCTGCTGAAGCGAGGGTTAGTCCAACTTTATCTGAACACGAGGATTCCAGCCTAATCCTTTGGGGCTTTGTCTTGCAATTACAACAAATAACTATTTATTTTACACCGCCTCTGGGAAAACCCTGAAGCAGAAAACTATAATATTTTATATCTGAAGTCTGGTCTAGTTTACGTAGCTGGATGCTGACTGCTAAAACACTTAGGGAATGCCAATGTTTCGATTTATTGAATGCACTGTGTGACTTCAGCTTAAGCGTGCAAAATTCACGAAAAGTTTTAGCCCGTTTAATGCATTTTTCCAAAGTTTGTTTAGACATACATTTTACTCAGTCTTCGCAAAAAAATGGAACCGAGGGAAACGCTGCCATTTGAAACCGGCTGTTTACTTGTACAAAGATAAGTAAAAAAGAACTGACAGAAATACTACGTGGCAGATTGAACTAAAATCAAACAGATGCAATTGCTTTCAGTTTCTTTTAACGTGGAAGCCCATCATGTATTGCAGCATGAGAAGTTAAAAGATGTGTGTCTTTTGGGAGGTAATTAAAGAACGCTTTGCCCACGAGCCTATTAGTACCTGACTCTGACCCGCGGGTTATGACTTTCTTGTTGATTTAGGCAGGGACATGCTATGCACGCACCTGGTGTTTATGGAAAGCGCAGTACGGAGATAAGCTTCTCCAATTGTTCCAAAAACCTGCCTCAAACTACCAACAATAGCAGCAGCAGCAGCGTTCCTCAAGAATCAGAAAGGACCCGCTGCAAACAAGTAAAGGCAAAAAAAGAATTCCTTACACCGAGGAGCTAAATCACTTGAAAACTATAAAAAGTCTTGCGAGCACTTCTTGCAACCTGTTGACAACATAGCTGAGATCACTGGCATGGGACTTGTTGATAGCTTACACAGACACCTGCACTAGAT